GCCCTGTCTTCGTCCAATCTCCTATTCCCTAATCCCTCCCTCCAATCCTTTTCCAAATCCCTTGCAATCCATCTTCCCCTCTCTCTTCCCCTGTCCCCTTCATGACCATTGACCGATTTAGGACCAGTGACGAATGCAGTGCCATTACCGTAGTTCTCAAGTTTCGAGTGAGGGCGGCTGGGAGCTGTTACGAACATCTCCTGTGGAGGTTAGTTTCAATTATAAAATGTTGGTGGACACAGTGGAGAGTGTTTATTAGATTGAATCCACAGCTGAGATCAGAGAGGCCGCGAGTCACCAGTAATACTCCGCCAAGTAAAGTACTACCTTCTCAGCTGGAGATGGTCAGGAATAATGTGAACTGGAATAGCCTAATTATGTAAGGGGAAAATTGACTCAATCAAGAAGCATGCATGGGGAATATGGTAAATAAAGTCAATAAAGGGTTTGATTGCAAATGTATAGAATAGAGTATTAAGGGGCGATGATGGAAGGAAGGTGGACGCCATCTTGACTGGAGGGGCAGGTGTATCGCTGACGACCCGATCCTGCTATTTGAGGGGTTTTCTCCTGCCGTACAGTCACATAAGCTACCTTGGTACTTTAGCAGGGATGTAAGATTGGGTAGAGTAGTTATGCAGATTTTGGAGAGGTTTTATACGAGTCCAGGTTTCCTAGAGGTTTAAATATGTGTCATTGGATGATAGCTGTGGTGGCTGTGTGCACGGTTCCAGGTTTGGGACGGTGAGCCGTGGGGTGGCCAGAGCCACTTCAGGTTATAATACTAATACATAATGATCTTATGTTGTGAGGAAATCGCCTTGTTGAATGCATTCATGTGTGACTTATACGTATAAATTTGTGACTTTGTACTAGGCTGTTTTCCTTACTCCTTGATTTACCCCTAGACAACATTTTAAGGTCCACCACCACCAAATTCTTGACAGATCTCTATGACAACAAAATCATGTCAACACTTATGACAAAAATAAAACACAGGCTGTGACGAATGCAATGCCATTACCGTAGTTCTGAAGTTTCAAGTGAGGAGGGCTGGGAGCCATAAAACGACTGTCGTTTCCTGTTGTAATGTCGGAACGGTTCATGATTCTACGGGATTAAAACTTAACTTTCAGGACAGGCCTATGTCATCAAGGAGGTCAACGGGTAGGGCTAAATCAGAGTTTTGGCTGGCCTAAGAGTAAGACTCTGTAGTCATTAGATGAAATTTGAAAGGCGGAGTCCCCCAGGGTAGTGCCTCGTCATCCATTGGCCCAGCCTCAGAATATTCCAGCTTTGCTTTGAATTGATTGGTGCTCCGAGCCAGAGCCAAGCTCCAGAGGAAACCTTAGGTCTCCCAGGGGTAGTTTTAAGAATATTGAAGTCAGTGTGTCTTGTGGCTTACTGGGGTACAGGTCTCTTGACCTGTGGGGCAAGCCATTCAACATCTTGGCCGATTTTGCAGGATTAAGGTAATGACTGTCTGAGTTTTGGTATATCAAGTAAATTACACACCGTTCTCCAAGTGCCTCGTAGGATGTCTTAGTAAAGTAGGATATATTTTTTGTAATTTGATTTCAATATACGTTTTTAGCTTAATAAAGTGATTAAATATATTTGTAGACGGCGTGGGACCCTTGCCCTGGACAAAGCAGGGAAACAACTACCTACTGACAATTATGTGTGCGTCAACGAGATTCTAGAAGCGATTCCAGTACAGCAGTTAATGTCAAGAAGCATTATGGGACCTCTCCAGCGATTTATCTCTTGGGTGGGAGTGCCCAAAGAGATTCAGTTCGACTGTGGTAGTGTGTTCCAGTCAGAGTACATCAGTCAGACTATTGCGAGCAGGGGAATAACCCAATTTCGATCTACGCCTTATAGACCTCATTCAAAGGAGGGTGATTGAGAGGTACCACTCGACCTTGAAAACCATGTTGAGGGTATACTGCGCCAAGCAAGGAGCGGAATGGGACGAAGCCGTGTATCCAGCTTTATTTGCGATTCAGGACGCCATTGTGGAATCTTTAGGATTCTCACCCTTTCAGCTTATGTATGGGCACGAAATGCAAAGTCCCTTATCAATGCTGAAGGAACAGCTGACGTCAGCAGAGGCCTTAAGGTCAGTTGAGGAGTACGTGTGTAAGTCCAAGGAACGTCTAGAGAAGGCAAAGACGTTGGCGACCGAACAACCGAGAACGGCCCAGAGGAAGGTGTCTGCTTGGTATGATCGGAATGCTGTCCTGATGGAGTTCCAAGTGGGAGGCAGGGTATTGATGCTGCTACCCAGAAGGGGTAGGGCGACTGATTCGTGCTTTGGAGGCCCTATACAACTGTGAGACGTATAGGCTAGGTAAATTATGAAGTCATAATTTACCTGGCATAATTTACTACATAAGAACATAAGAATAAAGGTAACTGCAGAAAGGTCTATTGGCCCATACGAGGCAGCTCCTATCTATAATCACCCAATCCCACTCATAAACATGTCCAACCCACACTTGAAACAATCGAGGGACCCCACCTTCACCACATTACGCGGTAATTGCTTCCACAAATCAACAACCCTGTTACCGAACCAGTATTTACTCAAGTCTTTCCTAAATCTAAACTTATCCAATTTATACCCATTGTTGCGTGTTCGGTCTTGTATTGATACTTTTAATACCCTGTTAATATCCCCTTTGTTATATCCATTCACCCACTTGTAAACCTCTATCATGTTACCCCTAACTCTTCGTCTTTCTAATGAATGCAATTTAAGCTTTGTTAATCTTTCTTCATATGAAAGATTTCTAATTTAGGGAATTAACTTAGTCATCCTACGCTGGACATGTTCAAGTGAATTTAAAACCATTCTATAGTACGGCGATCAAAACTGAACTGCATAATCTAAATGGGGGCTAACCAGAGCAAGATATAGCTGAAGAACCACACCAGGTGTCATAAGAACATAAGAACAAAGGCAACTGCAGAAGGCCTATTGGCCCATACGAGGCAGCTCCTATTTATAACCGTTGTTGTTGTTGTTAAAGATTTAGCTATTCAGGACGGAGTGTCCATGTAGCACGGGCTATGGTGAGCCCGTAAAATATTTATAACCACCCAATCCCACTCATATACATGTCCAACCCATGCTTGAAACAATCGAGGGACCCCACCTCCACCACGTTACGTGGCAATTGGTTCCACAAATCAACAACCCTGTTACTGAACCAGTGTTTACCCAAGTCTTTCCTAAATCTAAACTTATCCAATTCATACCCATTGTTTCGTGTTCTGTGTTGTGTTGATACTTTTAATACCCTATTAATATCCCCTTTGTTGTGTCCATTCATCCACTTGTAAACCTCTATCATGTCACCCTAACTCTTCGCCTTTCCAGTGAATGCAACTTAAGCTTTGTTAATCTTTCTTCACATGAAAGATTTCTAACTTGGGGAATTAACTTAGTCATCCTACGCTGGACAAGTTCAAGTGAATTTATATCCATTCTATAATACGGTGACCAAAACTGAACTGCATAATCTAAATGGGGCCTAACCAGAGCAAGATATAGCTTAAGAACCACACCAGGTGTCTTGTTACTAACGTTTCGATTAATAAGTCTGAGTGTCCTATTTGCCTTGTTACGAACATTCATGCATTGATTCTTTTGTTTTAAATTCTTACTAATCATAACTCCCAGATCTCTTTCGCAATCCGACTTCACAATCTCAACACCACCTAGCTCGTATCTTGTAACTCTATCATCATTACCTAGCCTCAGAACTTTACATTTATCTGCATTAAACTGCATCTGCTAATCCTTTGACCATTTCAAAACCCTATTTAGATCAACTTGAAGTGATAGTGAGGATTCTTCCGAATTAATTTCCCTACCGATTTTGTATCATCGGCAAATTTGCAAATATTGCTACTCAGACCTGAATCTAAATCATTTATATAAATTATAAACAATAGAGGTCCCAGGACAGAACCTTGAGGCACTTCACTTACAACATTTTCCCACTGTGACTTGACTCCATTTATACTAACTCTCTGCTTCCCCTGGCACAGCCACGCCCCAATCCAGCCTAATACAGCACCCCCAATAACACAAGCCTCCATCCCCCCAATCAGTCTTTCATAAGAACATAAGAAGAACATAAGAACAAAAGCAACTGCAGAAGGCCTATTGGCCCATACGAGGCAGCTCCTATTTATAACCACCCAATCCCACTCATATACATGTCCAACCCATGCTTGAAACAATCGAGGGACCCCACTTCCACAATGTTATGCGGCAATTGGTTCCACAAATCAACAACCCTGTTACTGAACCAGTATTTACCCAAGTCTTTCCTAAATCTAAACTTATCCAATTTAAACCCATTGTTTCGTGTTCTGTCTTGTGTTGATATTTTTAATGCCCTATTATTATCCCCTTTGTTATGTCCATTCACCCACTTGTAAACCTCTATCATGTCACCCCTAACTCTTCGCCTTTCCAGTGAATGCAACTTAAGCTTTGTTAATCTTTCTTCATATGAAAGCTTTCTAATTTTGGAATTAACTTAGTCATCCTACGCTGGACACGTTCAAGTGAATTTATATCCATTCTATAATATGGCGACCAAAACTGAACTGCATAATCTAAATGGGGCCTAACCAGAGCAAGATATAGCTTGAGAACCACACCAGGTGTCTTGTTACTAACGCTGCGATTAATAAATCCAAGTGTCCGATTTGCCTTATTACGAACATTTATGCATTGATCCTTTTGTTTTAAATTCTTACTAATCATAACTCCCAGATCCCTTTCGCAATCCGACTTCGCAATCTCAACACCGTCTAGCTCGTATCTTGTAACTCTATCATCATTACCTAACCTCAGAACTTTACATTTATCAGCATTAAACTGCATCTGCCAATCCTTTGACCATTTCAAAACCTTATCTAGATCAACTTGAAGTGATAGTGAGTCCTCCTCCGAATTAATTTCCCTACCGATTTTCGTATCATCGGCAAATTTGCAAATCATGTGGCACTGCATCAAAAGCCTTGCCAAAGTTAAGGCACAAAACATCACAATCCCCACCACTATCAACCGCCCCAACTACGCTAGAACAAAAAGACAACAAACTTGCTAAACACGAACGGCCACCTATAAAACCATGTTGCGACTCAACCACCAATTCATGTTTTTCAAGATGAAGACGAATCCCACTTGCATCTATCGACCCGAGCAACCCTCCCTCAACAGACGCCAGGCCAACTAGCCGACAGCTTGACGCAAGCGATCCATCTCCCTTCTTAAAAACTGGCACCACACCAGCAACCTTGCACAACTCTGGCACTCTGCCCGACTCCACGGATCCATCAAACATGGTAGACAGTGGGTCGCAAAGCTCCTCCTTGCATTCCCCAAGCACCCCGGCAAACACCCCACCCGGCCCCGGGGATTTGCTTGGTTTGAGCACCACTACCTGTCCAATCACATCCTCCCTGGCAACCGCCAAACTAGTCAACCCGTCCCCGCCCCCACCCACACAGACTTGCTCGGCCGAAGGCACATTGTCAAGTTCCTCCCCAGCAAACACAGATATAAAATATTTACCAAAAATATCACTCATCTCCCCATCACCATCCGCTACCCGACCCGTCTCAGTTTTTAATGGACCCATCCCTTCCTGTCCGGCACAACTGGAAAAACCCTCCAGGACCTGTCTTCGCCTGCTCCGCCATAGCTTCCCTTCGTCTTTCCTATCTCCTCCCTAGCATCTCCAACCAGTTGCACGAATTCCCGTTCCAAACCGACCTCCCCACCCCCAATCCTCCTGTACCACGCCCTCCCCCCACCACCTATAAGGCTTCCCAGATCCTCCGCTATCCACTTTGGATCATCAGCACTCGATCCATGCAACCTACATGGCACACCACATTCCCGGGCCCCGCCCAGAATACCCCCAAATAGGCTATATTTTGAATCCACATCGAAAACCCTTCCCACGTCACCCATCGCTGGATTCACGTCCGGCTCCAATACCGGCCCACATCCCATACACAAGACCCTCCAATCCATTTGACCCAAAACAACTCCCAGACTACCGAAATCAGCTTTTCGAAAACCAGCTTTTTCGAAAACTCCACCCCAACAGAATTTTCTCCTACAGATCCACTCCACTCAACGCCAAATCTGATTTCCCCACGATCACTGTTCCCCAGCTCACTACCCACCTCGATGTCCCCAACCTGTGCCTCCCTGCCAGTCAACACCAAATTCAAAATACCACCTCCCCGCGCCGGTTCCCCAACGCGTTGCGTAAGAAAGCAATCGTCAACCTTACTCCAGAAAATCCCCTGCCCCACCATTCCCTGCTCCGCTCAACCAGTCTACTCCACCAAAATTAAAGTCACCCACGACACAAACACTGTCAGATCCAGATGCTCCATATACCTCACCCCACAGATGCCCCGCCTCCACCCCGTCCAAACCCGGTGACCCATATACAACTCCTATCACAACACTATTGGCTCCATCGTCCAACTCCACCCAAACAGCCTCCGTATGTAGCTCAGTCTCGATTCCCTCTCCGAGACCACACCCCAAACAGTCCCCAACACACACGGCTACTCCCCCTCCTCGTCCAATATAAACAACTGTGCACAACAGCCCAAATCCATTTATTTGATATTCAGCCAATAGCCCTCCACACTCATCCATGCCCCGGAAAGTGCAAAAACATTTATTTTTTCTGTGCAGACAAGAGCACCCAAATCGTTTATTTTATTTTCCAGACCCCTAGTGCCAGTGCAACATACCCCGAGCGAACTGACATTTTGAGGCCCCTCTCCCCCCCCCCCCCCCAATCACCCCGCCAATTCTCTTCTCCCACTACTTCCCTCCCCCAAATCAACTCCCATACTACTATCCACCAAGAGCTCAAACCCAAACAAACGCCTCCAACCACTGGTTCCAACGAGTTCGCAACAACAACAACCCCAGCCATCGACAGACGCACTCCATCCCGAGTACACACCTCACCTCCATCACAGAAGCGCTCCCAGCTGTCCACGAAAGATATTGCACCCGACCTGCAACACCTCTCCAGCCGGCGTGTCTTATTACTAACGCTTCGATTAATAAATCCCAGTGTTCTATTTGCCTTATTACGAGCATTCATGCATTGATCCTTTTGTTTTAAATTCTTTAAAACCATAACTCCCAGATCCCTTTTGCAATCCGACTTCGCAATCTCAACACCATCCAGCTCATATCATGTAACTCTATCATCATTACCTAGCCTCAGAACTTTACGTTTATCAGCATTAAACTGCATCTGCCAATCTTTTGACCATTTCAAAACCCTATTTAGATCAACTTGAAGTGATAGTGAGTCGTCTTCTGTGTTAATTTCCCTACCGATTTTTGAATCATCTGCAAATTTGCAGATGTTGCTACTCAAACCTGAATCTAAATCATTTATATATATTATAAACAACAAAGGTCCCAGGACAGAGCCTTGAGGCACTCCACTAACAACATTATCCCACTGTGACTTAACCCCATTTATACTACGCTCTGTTTCCTTTGGAATAGTCATACCCTAATCCAACTTAATATAGCACCCAAAATACCATAAGCCTCTATTTTTTAATTAGTCTTTCATGTGGCACTGTATCAAAAGCTTTGCTAAAATCAAGGTACACAACATCCCAATCCTTACCACTATCAACTGCCTCAACTATGCTGGAATAAAAAGATAGCAGATTTGTTAAGCATGAACGGCCATTTGTAAAACCATGTTGCGACTCATTTATTAATTTCTATTTTTCTAGATGAAGGCGAATTGCATTTGCAATTATTGATTCAAGTAACTTTCCCACAATAGACGTTAGGCTAATTGGCCGATAGTTTGACACAAGTGATCTATCTCCTTTCTTAAAAATTGGTACCACATTAACTACCTTCCATGACTCTGGCACTCTGCCTAGCTCTATTGATTTATTAAATATGGTAGACAGTGGCTCGGAAAGCTGCTCTTTGCATTCTTTAAGCACCCCTGGCAAACACTTCATCCGGCCCTGGGGATTTGTTTGGTTTTAGTTTTACTATTTGTTTAATTACATCCTCCCTGGTAACTCCTAAACTAGACAACCTGTCCTCGTCTCCACCCGCACAGACTTGTTCGGTTGAAGGCATATTGTTAAGTTCTTCTTTAGTAAATACAGATATAAAATATTTATTAAAAATACTACTCATCTCCTCGTCATTATCCATTATTTGACATGTCTCGGTTTTTAATGGACCTATCCTTTCCCTAGTCTTAGTTTGATATAACTGAAAAAACTCTTTAGGATTTGTCTTCGCTTGCTCTGCTATGCGAACTTCATAGTTTCTTTTTGCTTTCCTTATCTCTTTTTAACATTTCTAACCAGTTGTGCGAATTCCTGTTCTAAACTGACTTCCCCATTCTTAATCCTTTTGTACCACGCACTCTTTTTACCAATAAGATTCTTCAAATCCTTTGTTATCCACTTCATGTCATTAGTATTCGATCTATTCAATTTGTATGGTATACTAAGGGGGCCTCGTAGCCTGGTGGATAGCGCGCAGGACTCGTAATTCTGTGGCGCGGGTTCGATTCCCGCACGAGGCAGAAACAAATGGGCAAAAAGTTTCTTTCACCCTGAATGCCCCTGTTACCTAGCAGTAAATAGGTACCTGGGAGTTAGTCAGCTGTCACGGGCTGCTTCCTTGGGGTGGAGGCCTGGTCGAGGACCGGGCCGCGGGGACACTAAAAAGCCCCGAAATCATCTCAAGATAAGATACTAGATTCCTGTAATTTGCTTAGAATATTCTTAAATAAGTTATATTTTGAATCCACATCGAAATCCCCTTTTATGTCACCTATCGCTGGGTTTATGTCTCGCTCCAAGACCGGCCCACCCCCCCATGCCCAAGACTTTCCAATCTATTTAACCCCAAAAATTTCTTAGGCTACTAAAATCAGCTTTTCGAAAATCTGGCACTTTAACAGAATTTTCTCCTACAGATCTATTCCATTCTCTGCTAAAGCTGATTTCTTTGTGAATCACTGTTCCCTAGCTCACTCCCTATTTCGATGGCATTAATTTGTGTTTCCCTGTTAGTTAACACTAAATCTAAAGTATTATGTTCCCGCGTTGGTTCCTTAATGTGTTGGCTAAGAAAGCAATCGTCAATTAAATCTAGAAACTCTTCTGATTCATTATTCCCTGTTCTGTTAGACCAATTTATTCCACTGAAATTAAAGTCACCCATGACGCAAATTCTGCTAGACCTAGATGCTCTAGATATTTCATCCCATAGGTGCTTTGCTTCCATCCTGTTTAAGTTTGGTGGCCTGTATATAACTCCCATTATATGATTATTTGCTCCTTCGTTTAATTCTACCCAAGTAGTTTCTGTATGTGACTCAGTTTTGATTCCTTCTTTAAGACTACATTTCAAAAATTTCCCTAACATATATGGCTACTCCACCTCCTCGTCTAATATATCTATCTGTGTGAAATAGTTTAAATCCATTTATTTGATATTCAGCTAATAGTTCTCTATTTTCTACATTCATCCACGTTTCGGTAAGTGCAATAATATCTATTTTTTTCTGTACAGACAAGAGCATTTAACTCGTTTATTTTGTTTCTTAGACTTCTACTTTTAGTGTAATGTACCCTAAGTGAATTGTTATTTTGAGGCCCTTTTCTTTCCCTGATCATTTTGCCAATTTGTTTCTCTAATAAACACATACTTTTATTACCTCCTATCAATTCCCATACTAACTACTAACAGTTTAAACCCAAACAAATGCCTCTAACCACTGGTTCAAACGAGTTCCCAACAGCAACAACCCCAGCCCTCGATAGATGCACCTCATCACAAGCATACATTTCACCTCTTCCATAGAAGTGTTCCCAGTTGTCAATGAAAGATATTGCATTTGATTTGCAATATCTTTCCAGCCGACAATTGATACCAAGTGCCCTCGATAACTATTCATTCCCAAAGCTCTTTCTTTAAAGAATGCCACATATGATCGGGATTCCTCCCTTGCTCCTAACTAATTCTATGGCTTTGTTAAATTTCTGTATCAGTTCCTCACTCCTAACTCGTCCAACATCAATACCCCCAGCACTAATACAAATAATGGGTTTGTTCCCATTTCCAGTCATAATATCTTTCATGTTGTCAACAATATCTCCAATTCCAGCTCCCGAATAGCAAACCCTTAACTTGTTCCTCCTATCTCTGGCACAAAACGTCCTGTCTAAATACCTCACCTGGGAATCTCTCACAACCAAAATTCGCTTAGGTATCTCCTTAACTTTCTGAGCACTTTGAGGGGCCTGTGCTTCGTTGCTCTTCATTGATTTCCCTTTCGAGTGAACTGCAGGCTCACCACAGCACTCGTCTTCCAGCACGGCAAATGAATTTGAAGTCCTTAGGGTTTCTGTAGGCGGCCTTGTCAAGGTCTTCTTAAGACCCTTGTCCTTAACGACTTTTCACGACGAGGTCTTGTTAATATTGGTCTCCTCCTTCGTTTCTTCTCGATACCCCATTCCCTGCTAAGCTCGTTGTTGCCGTGAGGGGGGCTTAGTGGGCGGCTGCCGGAGTGTGATGCTTCTTGGGACAGTCCTCTGTCCT